ACACACACACACACACACATACATACATACATTAAGATTTGCCATCTTAATCATTTTAAGTGTGCAATTTAGTGAAATTAATTACACTCACAGTGTGTGCAACCATCACCACTTCTATTTCCAAAATTTTTGTCACCTCAGGTAGGACTCTGTACCCCATTAAACAACAACTCTCCTTTACCCACCTCCCCCTAACCTCCGGTAACCTCTATTGGGCTTCTGAATTCGACTTTGTAGGTATTTCCTATCAGTGGAATCATATAGTATTTGTCTTTTGGTGTCTGCTTACTTCATTTAGCATAATGTATTCAAGGGTTTTCCATGCTGTAGCATGTGTCCAACCTTCATTCCTTTTCATGGCTGAGTACTACTCCATTGTATGGACCTACCACATTTGTTTACCCATTCATCAGTCAGTAGACACGGGTTGTTTCCACCATTTGGTTATTGCTGATAACCAGTAACTAATGCTGATATGGATGTTTGCCTTACAAATACCTATTCTAGACCCTGTGGGTATTTAAAGAGCACATTGTTTTGTGACCAGTTTTTCTCACTGATGTATTAAGATCATTTTCTGTATCCATACATTATTTCTTTCTTTTTTTTTCAATCTTCACCCGAGGGTATTTTTTCATTGATTTTCAGAGAGAGTGGAACAGAGAGGGAAAGACAGAGAGAAACATTGATTGTTTGCCTCCTGCAGGCGCCCCAACCAGGGCCCGGGCCGGGGAGGAGCCTGCAACCGAGGTATGTGCCCTTGACCAGAATCGAACCCATGACCCTTTGGTCTGCAGGCCGACGCTCTATCCACTGAGCCAAACTGGCTAGGGCAGTACCTGTATTTCTAAACTGAGATTTTGGAGGCCTGCCATATACTCCATGGTGTGGTGGTAACACTTTAGTAACAAGTTCTCTGGTATATACTGAGATGCCTTACAGTTTTCCACGGAGGAATATCCTTATACTTAACAATTTTACAAATACAGCGGGGCCTTGACTTACGAGTGTCCCGACTAATGAGTTTTTCAAGATACGAGCCGTCTCTCGGCCGATTTTTTGCTTTGAGTTGCGAGCTATAATTCAGGTTACAAGCCAGCTTCAGACACCCCACCACTAGTTGGCGCAGCGAACATCACAGTGAACAACACAACATCAGCCCAGCATCACATGTCTCACTCGTTCACTTTTTGATTTGACATACGAGTAATTTGAGTTACGAGCTCCGGCACGGAACGAATTAAACTCGTAAGTCAAGGCCCCACTGTAGTTTAAAATTGTACAGTAACATGCAGTTTTAAACTATATAATCTCCTTGTCAAAAATGTAAACATTACAGGTGAAGAGTGAAGTCTTCCTTGACTCTCTCTCTGCAATCAATAAAAATATATTTTAAAAAAGAAAATCGAGACAATACCCTGTATAGACAATCAAAAAGAAGGGAATCTTAAACGCCCCCAGTTTCATCCACCCAGAGGGAACCACGTTGGCATGTGGGTCCATCTCTCTGCATCCCAGCCCTTTCTAGGCATCCCCACAAATACACGAGCACATACATGGAGGCATGGAGAGAGAGCGTGTTGGGCTTTTTATGTGTTGTGGGTGTTCTTCTGTATATATACCCTGGTATTTTACTTTCATAAATAACTTTTTTAAAATATATTTTATTGACTTTTTTACAGAGAGGAAGGGAGAGAGATAGAGAGTTAGAAACATCAATGAGAGAGAAACATCGATCAGCTGCCTCCTGCACACTCCCTACTGGGGATGTGCCCGCAACCAAGGTACATGCCCTTGACCGGAATCGAACCTGGGACCCTTCAGTCCGCAGGCTGACGCTCTAGCCACTGAGCCAAACCGGTTTCGGGGAAATGTTGATCTTGAGTATCAGCTGTTAACACTGTCACATGGAGCTGTGATGACGCGGGAAAGCATCCATCGGAGCACTTGGCTCAGAACCAGAGCGTAAGACTTGCACCCCCCGTCCTCCAGACACCTCTTCCCTGTGAGCCCAGTGTGAAATTATGATTTCTAACAGAGGGTTTTTCTCAAACATCACAGAAAACAAATAGAGGTTACTGACAACAAATTGATGCGTGCCCTTGTGTGTTTGTTTAATCCTCACCCCAGAATATTTTCCCACTGATTTTTAGAGCGAATGGAAGAGAGAGGGAAAGCCAGAGAGAAACATTGATGTGGGGG